ATATATATATATATATATATATATATATATGCTAAAAAGTTTGGATCATCATCGATAAATCGGTAGTTTTTTTTTAACCAAATGTAATGCATTAAGACCAGACTAATCTCGGGGTCGAGAATCAACCATGTAATTTGGAATAAACGCTCCCTCTTCAAACTTGAGATTCGAACTCGATGTGAAACACATGTTTTTTCCCATTTTGTCAATTGAACTAACCAAGTTTGAGTTATAAATCGATAGTTTCTCGCCATCATCTTGTCAATGCTTAACTGATTTTGGAATATTGGTCATGAAAAATGAAAATATCACATTGATTGATATCTTTTTTTGAATTAAACAAAGTGTATATAGACATTATCAATTTTACATTTCGAGTTTTAGTTCGTTTTTTTTTTCCATTTTAGAAAAATCATTTCCATTTACTTCTTCTGTCATTCATTTTAGTTTTTGTTGGATTTGTTTCGGGTGTTTTTTTTATTAAGAGTAATATTTATTTTCTAAAAAAATTTGCATTCTATTTTTGCGTATTTTATATTAGGTTTCAATTTAGTTGGAATATGGTTTTTTAACTATATATTAGGTTTTTATATTTAAATATAAGAAAAAAAATACATATTAGTACATGAGCTTGTAAAAAAATCTCAAATAAATCTACGAACTTAAAATTCTTAAATAAATACATGAACTCTTCCCAACTCCTATATTAAACTCTGATTTTTTTTAACTGATGAAAAAAATCATAAATTTTTAAATAATTTCCAAAACCCGTCATGAAATTAAATACTAAATTTTCATATAACTACCAAATATCACCATTGTGGTGGTATTTGGAAACTATTACATTAAAGATCAAATTTTAATGTGGAAATTATAAAAAAAATAAGTATGTGTATTTTTTTGAAAATTTTAAAATTTGTATATTTATTTGGGTTTTTTTTTAAAGCTCGTGTATTAATATATGACTTTCCCCATACCTATTGTTATTCAGTTCCGTATATTCCAACTACGAAGACCATCCCTAATTACGATAATAATAAAAATAATAATAATAATACTATAAGATTTTGCCAAAACATGTGGAAGTAATCGTTTGGAACGAACAATAGAATTCTAATTAATGTCCATGTATGCTTAAGGCCGACGTTTTTACAAATAATAATATGATTTAAGCAACGTACCACATCCAATAAGTGACGTTAATTGCAGGAAAAAATATAATATATATATGCATTATAATAATATAGAATGGTGGTTATAATATCAAATATATTTATTATTCTTATGATATCGTTGAGATCCGGATCCAATCAAACCAAACTATATGTAATTAATTTTAATTTGTAATTAAATAAATATACGAACCAAACCAAATCATCCAAATTGAACCCCGCATTCATTCTACTCGAATGATTTGGAAATTTGCCAAACAACCTTAATATAACCAAACGGATAACGTTATTCACTTTCGGTTCAGGTTTTCCAAACCCTAATTTATGAACGCATAAAACCGAATCAAATCGAATATATAGAATTGATATTCATATAATCGTATCGAATCAAAGAGAAAGATTTAAGAAATGAAAAAAAATTGCGGTTAATTAATAGGCCACGAGAAAAAAAAAAAAAAAACAAAACACTCGAGTTAATCTTTGTTCGAATTGCCTTTGCCGATACACTCTCCATGTTCCAGAAGCTCCTCCAATAATCTGTCATCCAAACACTCGAACTCTATCACTTCCTTCCCCACGCCGGCACCAGCGGCAACATCTCCGCCGTGGATAGACTCGCCGGGAAGTTTTCCGGCGGAGTAATCACGAGGGAAATTGAGGATGGCCAATGAGCCTCTCATCGCGTAGGCGGCCCGGTCGTAGGCCTGAGCTGCCTCCTCGGCCGTGTCGAAAGTCCCGAGCCAGACCCTAGCCCCCTGTCCCCGGCCGGAATCCCGGATCTCCGCCGCGTATTTCCCCCACGGCCGTTTCCGTACGCCTCTGTACTTCACTTCTCCAGTAGTCGTCTTGTTCACTTCGTTATGTTCCATGTTGTTATCTTCCATATTGCATGCTAGGAGAAATTATTTATACGTGGCAAAAACTACGTAGGCCCGCTTATATAGTTATATATATATATATATATATATTGCCACGTGGAGAATCTAGTGTACCATATAAATTCCCACCTTGGCTCGTAACTAATTTAATCCAAGGCCTTTTTCCGTTTTGTAAATGATATAAAGGCAGCCATCCATAATATATAGTGAAAATATTATAATAAAGAACAAAGTAATTAATTTAATTCGCTATATATATTATATTCACCAAACCGGATGTATTACGTGAGAGTGCAATGAATCTGAATGGTCAAGGAGACGGCTAAAACTTTCCTCGTTAGTATATTTACTTTTCATTTGTTTGTTATTAATTATACAAAAAGGTGGGAAGTCTCACGTTTTGGTCAATTTTCAAATTAAATGTCACAAGATACATTTGACCGCACGTGGGTCTATTCATTTCAGGACCATAAAAAAAATTCCAAATAATTTATATATATATATATATATATATATATATATTAAGTAGGAGTGGGCGTTTCGGGATCCGGTGCAAAATTTTAGCGGTTCGGTTTAGAAACGTTTTTTCAGTATTTTAAAATATATACTAAATTAGTACTACATATTATTCGGTTCGGTTCAGGTTTTGGTTTTTGTTAAAAGAATTTAGATTTTCTTAAAACAAAATTCGGTTTTTCGGGGATTTTATAAAGTTTGGTTCGGTTCGGTTTGATTTCGAAAAAATCGGTTCTATAAAAATTATACCTTTTGAGAATTTTGAACGGTACGGTTCGAGAAAAATAGCGAAATTTTCGTTTCGGTATGGTTTGGTTTTTTGGAGCCGAACCGAAACGTCTAGCCGTGATATTAAGTGTGTGATTTTTTGTCAAGAAATCAAAAGCATATTATTACACAGTATTTTCTCTCTCTTAAGACCACGCAAGATTAGCTCGGCTGAATAATTGGGATTTTATTTTAATTATGTTAATGTTTAGATATTTTGATTTTTGAGAGAAGCATATTCATGTAATTACTATTTCTGATTTTTAATTCAATTCGAATTTTCTTATTAAAAAAATCATGTTCTTCATTAGCCTATAGAATTTGGTACGGCATAGCGGATAGAGAGATATCTTTAAGATTTGTACTTGAAATGTTAAGGGTTATAGGTATTCGGATGCTATTCGGATTCGGATTTTGTTTATTAAAAAATAATAATATTTATGCGAAAATTAAAAAGAAAATCGAAGGTGTGATTATAGGGAGGGATGAATGGCAATGAAATTATGAGATAAAGAGAGTCGGTGAGTGATAAATAAAAATTAGTGTAGTATTCTTTGATTCTAAATAATTATATTTTATAAAAAAATATTATAAACATGTAGGAATATAATTGTTTATATTAAAATTATTCCGTTATTTGCGGATATCCCATTTTAGAAATTTTATTTTTCGGATTCGGAACTACGAATCCGAATTCGGATTTGATTGAGGACAAGCATCATAAAATCGGGTATCCGTGGATAACCAATTTTTTGAGTAATTTTGTTCAACCCGTACTCCATCCACGGATTTCCGAAATTCAAAAACTCGAACGGCTGTAAATATGAGGTCGGGTACTCGAACCCTCGACACATCCGACAGGTGCAGAGGTCCGATGGTTCGGCCGTGAAACCCGAGATGGCAGAACGGCCCGAAAAAACTCGGGTATCCGACATTTCTAAGCGACAGACGAGAAAATGCGAAGGACAGTAGTAGTTCACCTCAACACAAATTCACATATTTTTTAATAAATCTGAGCTTTCTTGAGAGGGAAGAAAAAAGATTCTGAAAGTTCTTGAATTAATTTAAAAAAAAAAGACTATTTATAGCGTAGAAAAAAAAAACTGAAACCGAAGTAATCTCTCTAAGATCCAAAACCACTACAAAACACCAGGAACAGTGTAACTCGAAGAGATTCAAGAAAGAACACATGCAGATGCTCCCACGAGGAAACTGACCCATTTTCCGATTCAGTTCGTTTTCGGTTTGGTGGTCTTTTTCCGGAGTTGTCTTCCATGTTTCCTCGAGTTCTTCATTCCGATGAAGAAGAGCAACGCCCCAAGAAGAGCCAGGTTCTGAGCAAAAAAACAGAAAGACCGAAGCTTTCTCACCGATCTGTTCAAAAGACTTCAACTTTGATTCGGATTTCGGTTCTGGTTCCTCACCTGAGTGAACTTTGTGAAAAGCGGGCCGAACTCCTTCCTGTCAGCATCGTAGTTGTAGAAATCGTATAGTATAGGGGTGGAAATGGCTTGATGCAGCAGCTGAATCGAGATTTCACCAAAAAAGTTTCTTCATTCATTTAGCGAAACAGGAAAATCCAGTGGTGAAGAGATGAAGAAACGTACCAAAAGATAAGCTCCAAGTGAGCTGCCAAAGACGAAAAGAAGTCCCCCGAGGCCTTTCATGGCTATAGCTGCGGCAACAAGATGCTTCATCTGCAAAAAGTCTCAAGGTTCATCGAAGTTAAGGCAACAGAAAAGAAAAAAACAGAGAACCGAAAACTCGGAACAACATAAAGGGTATTTCTTTACGAATTTGGAAGCAGCAAAAGAAACCCGGAAAAAGGTAACTAACATCAACCGGTGGAAGTTGGAACCCGGTATGAACGGTGACATGGTTTGCAAAGACATTGTATTTTGGTCTCAATGACTTAGCTGCCCGACCGCCGTCAGTGCCAAAATCACTGAACCTGTTCATAGAAGCAAAAAAAAAAAAAAGAGGAGCAAAATCGTAAAGGATTGCCTGCAGTAAAAGACTTGTAAAGGATTTCAAACAACATCAACATATGGCAACTTTAGATTAAGAGAGAGGAAATAAGAAAACCAGAAGTAAAAGATCCCGTCAAACTTGTGGAGGCCGACCACACACATTATCTCATTGTTTTGGTTGGATTTAAGGGGAAAAACACAGAAAAAGGGGGAAAAGGTTTGACAAAAACCAACCAAGACTATCTATCTTATGTCCTAAACAAGAGATCACAGTCACCAGATTGTATCCATATTCACATAAATGTGAAAGCCATGAAAGATGCTTTGAGCAATCATTACAACAAGTAAGGCAACAGCTGAAGTTAAACGTGAGATTAGATCATAAGAAGCTGAATCAGAATGATACTCATGATAGGTTACGATAATAGTTTGCAATTGCAACCAGAAACTAGACCCTTCAATTCACAAATTCTTCAGCTTACTAGATTCAGAAACAAGGAGAAACATAAAATACCAAAGGAGTTGAATCAAAGAGGCAATAGGTGGGCAAAATCTAGCTATCTCAGGCTTCAATGGAATCAAAAAGAGAATCTACCAAAACATAGCCTATGATCTCTTTGCCCATCAAATCAAACTCCATCATAGCAAGTAAGATCCAAATTTTGCTGTCATTGCCCGAATTTAGTTTCTTAGCCCAGCAGAAGCCAAACATTTGCCAACTCGATGAGTTAAACAAAACTACTCAAGTAGGAAAAATAACGATAAATAACTAAAATCATCAGCAGTTAAGCAAATCGAGCGAAGTAGAGCGACAGACAAAATGAATCCATCTTTTCCAAGATCCAGTTGATCATACAGATCTCTGTCGGAAAACCCAGAATACTCAGATTCTCGCCTTCCATGTACTCAAACAGAACCTAGAAAGCTGAATCGTTTCTAGGGTTTATGATAACGAACAACAAAGCGAATCATGCCCAGATTTTTTCTTCCTATTACAAGACCGCCTAAGAGATCCCACGAAACTAGACAACTGAACAGACAAAAAAAACAAGATTTGAACTTTCTCAGTAAACAAAGAGAACCCACGAAACCGCAGGGGAGAAGAAATGAAAACCCGAGAGAAATTCTACATAAGCAGAGCAGATCTAAAGATAGACAGAAAGAATCTGCTTACTCTTGCCATGCGGAGAGAATGAACACGGAAACGAACAGAACCCTGCCGACGAAGGACGCTAACTCCATTGCTGTTTGTTTTCCTGTTTATTTTTTACACGAATTGATCTCACAGACAAGCGGAGTTAGGTCTGTAAATCCCACAGGAGGAGGAAGAAGACATGGCGATATTGAAATATTTAGGGGAAGTGGTGGACTTGGATTCGGACTTCTCCATAGACTCACTTGCGCGAGTACATAATATGATTATACTCGCCGTTTCTCAATAAAGAAAGTGCCACGTGGATGGTTACACATAGTCCGACCAATGAAAGTTGTCCGACGAAGAAAGTGTAATAAACGTGGACCAATTAAAACGAGAGTTCGTACTTGAAGTGTACACCGAATTATATTAAACTTCCTATTTTTTTTCGGGGAAAGAAAAATCAGAAAAATTTTATTTTTACAGATGACAAAAAAAACAGAATTTTGAACAAAATAAAAATAAAAAGGTTTCTGCTGAAGGAAGCAAACACTAGGGGCAGAGATTTTAGACTCTGTTTTAGTTATTTTCTGGTTTAATTTCTTTGTTTTGAAAACTTATTTTTGGTTTCTAATTAATCCGAATTATGTTCCAATTAGGCTTTTCTTAACTTAATTTTTTTTCCGAACTTGTATTATTCGAATTTCATCAATATTTTGTTATTTTAAATAAAATTTTAAAACAAAATATACCCAATCAACTTTTCAAAACTAACAAAATATTGTGTATTTTGGTTCGAGATATGCAAAACAAATTATACTTTTGTTTCAAAATAGCCCCTGATAATTATTTAAATTACAAATATGGATCTCAACTTCTCAATTATTGTTTAGGGAGAAAATCCAATTGGGCTAATATTTGGACCGAACCCCATGAAAATTTAGTATGGCCCAAATGTTTTACATTCTTATTCTATTATAATATGTACAGTTTTAGGTGTTTTAAATTTGATAAAAAAAAATACGAAGAGCTTCTAAAATAACATTATTTTTATAAGTTTCAATAAAAAATAAGTTCGAAAGTTTCGTCCATTTTTGTTATATCTAGCCATCCAATCAATTCCTTGCGTATTGATATTTTTAACTGTATCGGGTTTTTTTTTATGAATACTCAGGATCTCTTTTGCCATAAATATTTTCCATCTTTTTGGTAATATATGTAAAATCGGATTGATTAAAAATTAAGAAATATTTTCATTATTACAATTAAAATTTAAAAGAATCATTTAGAAAGGGCATTCCCATGAATTCGGTCGTACTAAAGATTTAGTTGAATAAAAAATGCGATGAATTTATGGATTATAAAAAATATTAATAAACAAATAAATACCAACAAAAAATAGAAAAATCGGCCTCAAAAAAAAGAAATTTGAATCCATAAAATTCAAAGACGAAATCGAATTTTTTCAATAGAAACTAATTTAATAAACGACTGTACTTTTCTAGTTACGAGAATATATAAATATAATCTTTTTTTTTTTTTGTAATATCGAGTGTATCCTTGTTTCAAACTCTTGGGGTTAGAAATTTTAGATGTTTAGCCTATTTTTGGTTTTGGAACTTTCTACATCTTTCCAATTATTTGTGCAATAATTCGACTCAAATCATTCAAGGTATTGTAGTAGTTTACACATCATAATCAAAGATCATGGCATATCAAATGGACCGTCGAATGCGACGTAAAATCCAACGACATCTAGATAATATCCTTATATTGATATTTTCTATTTGATTTTTTCGTTAAATTATAAGGTTAGCCAACATTTTAGGTTATCGTGATCCAAATGCGGAATATTTATATAGCTCCGATATCTGAAAAATTGGGGGACAATAGCAAAAACAAACATTAACTTTGTGTATTCGGCAAATAAATACACAAACTTTCATTTTGGTAATAAAATACATCAACTTTTATATTTTTAGCGTAAACCTCCACAAACAGTAATAACATCAAAAAAATAACGAAACTATCAATATGTCATGTACAGTTATATATAAATATCATATCATTTGTTTAATAAAACTATATCATTAATTATATGTAATAAATTTATTATTAACGTTATTTAGTGATTTTGTTTTTTATGTTCAAAACATAATATATATGGAAAATGAAACCCTTGAAATGCAAATATATTATGTTTTGAACATCAAAAAACAAAATCACTAAACAAGGTTTATAATAAATTCACTAATTATATATATTATGTTTTGAACATAAAAAAAAAACAAAGTCACTAAACAAAATTAATAATAAATTCACAAAACATAATTAATGACATGGTTTTATTAAATAAATGATATGATATTTATATACAACTGTACATGACTTATTGATGGTTATGTTATTTTTTTTACGTCGTTACTATTCGTGGAGGTTTGCGCTAAAAATATAAAAGTTGGTGTATTTTATTACCAAAATTAAAGTTTGTGTATTTATTTGTCAAATACACAAAGTTCATGTTTGTTTTTGCTATTGTCACGAAAAATTGGATGTACATTTGAATACTGATTTTTATTTTTGTTTCTTAATAAAAAAATTTATATTTTCTTATAAAAAAATTTATCTATATTTTTTAACTACGAAGTTCACCGGACCTTCGACCCGATTACATCTCCCACAGTCTGGGAGCAGTCTTTAAAATACACCCCGCCCTTCCCAATAACTGGATTCGAACTGACAATCAAATGGTGACTTTGTCATCCTCTGTTAACCATTCGTCTGAATCTATTTTTATCTATACCGATTGACGGTGTATCTTTAATATTGATTTTGATCATTTTCCGACAAAATTGTAGAAATCCGAACATAGTACGCATACATTCAGTTAAAAATCCGAATTTAAATATGAGTTTCTAAAAACTGAAAATCGGATAATTTTATAAATATACTTGGACTAATAAAAATCTTTTATATCAGTAATAATATAATTTACGCGATAACACGTATATATAGATTATATACATATACGTGTACGTGTGTGTGATACAATTGTACGAATGAAGGTGTAGGGAACGTGAGGGGTCGCATCACATGCAACGTTCACTTCACGTATTAATGGATCATTAAAGTAACGGGAGAAAAAGTAGTCAGAATCTGGCGGTGGAGATAACGTCGGTCCGTTGGCTGGTTTCTAATAACTTCATTACAACGTTATCCATTTATATTTTAAATCTGTTTAAAATATACGTAGATTGCACCAAAGAATCATGGAAATGTATGGATGTACTTCTTGATCCCCATAAAATCGAAATTAAAAAAAAAACAAAACGTACGGAAAAGGGGAAAATTATTTTATTTTTAGAGTTGAAACTCGAATCTATCAAAAAGAAATACAATGTTATTAGTAATTTAATAGTACTAAAACACTGTTCAAGGGTTTTTTTAGAAGATATATAAATTTTAAATAAATTTTCGGTCAAAAAAACAAGAAAGACTGTCCAAAAGAATACATAGAAAAAGAAACGAAAAAAAAAATGGTAAGCATTCGGTATCCACTCAAATAAAATATTTAAATTTGGCACTTTCAAGCTTTGACCGTCTTTCAAAGCTTCTACTCCACATATGTTCCTATCTATACATATACACATATACCTACAAAATCAAAATCAATACACACACATATATATATTTGTGCTTATATAAGTATTTCACATCCACAATAAACCAGAGAAACCACCTGTTGCGCCCATTTTCTCTCTCAGATTTCTCTAAACCACCACATAAAGCACCTTCTTGTTCCATGCCCATGTCGTCGTCGTCATCCCCGCCGTCGAAAACCAGAAACTCCGGCGCCGGAAACCGTCGGGCTCCGAGCCGGCTTCAGAGACGAGCTCCGCCGTTGAAGATCACTCCGGCGACGGCGAGTGCCTGGAACGCGGCCATCCCTCTCCTCTCGCCGCTCGCCGGCTCCCCGACGCCGTCCTCTCCGGCGGGCGCTGCGGCGGAGCAGATGCCGGTGTTCAAGAAGTGGCAGCATCCTGCGGCGCCGTTCTGTTACGATACGGCGTCGTTTGGTCCGCCGTTTGTTCCCGTTTGAAAGATTTATAAGATCTAACGGTTCAGAGTACAGTTTGGGTTATTAATGCTAACATTTCGCGTGTATCTAACGGCCAAGCGAGCGCGTAGAGTGCGCGTGTAACTTTTCGTACATCCGTGACAACGTATATTTTCTTCTTCTTCTTCTTCTTTTTTACCTGTTTTCTGCTTTAACTTTAAGAATAATTAACAGTGCTGGGTTTATTAAAATATAAGCGGATGCACTTACCGCTCTGTGCCGTATTTTTTTTAATAAATTTCGAATAATATATTTATATTTGTTGACAAAAAATCGGCTGTAAAGTTGATATAATTGAATAACCACACCACTAATAATTATTTGAATAAAATAAATGGACCGCGAGGCCTATGAAATTTTGGATATCATAATTCTTTTGACGTTTCAAAGTTTGTAATAAAACTGGAAACCATACTGCTTAATTTATTTATTTTCATTTATTTTTTTCTGTTAGCTTATATTCATTTACTTTTGTATGATATTAAGTGATTTTTCAATTCAGGCCTTTATATGGTATGGGTCCAACTTATTAAATTACTAGATATTTTATTTGGGCCTTTATATGACATAAACTCGATTTATTTGAGGAATATAAATTATATAGACTAATAATTAATCTTTCAAATTTTGAATTAATTAATTAGCAAATATATCAATTGGGCCGGGCGTGGTCTAAGCCCAATCATTCTGCATTTTCTTCTACATTAAATTCATTGGGCCTGAAAGATCACAAACTTTCTTGCCTTTTCTCGGCAACCAAACATGATTTTCCTTCTGGATCCGAGATTCCGAATCCAGGTCTCGCTCGCAGGTCCTAGCGCTGAATCCTCCATCATGCTTAGTTCTTGGCAGGATTGCAAATCGAAGACGAGACATAGTTGAGGAAACGAGCAATGAGCAACCGAAGGTTTGATCGTTGACTCAATTCATTTCAGATTCGATTTCGAACTTTACTAACCGATCGATTTATACAGTAATTTCGCCCAAATCTCATTAAGAAGAAGCTATGATCAATGTTCAGATTCTTCATTTTTGTTCTCTTTTTGCATCAACGTCGCCCGAGCTTTATTTATTTACGCTTCAATTCATTTCCTTGATTTAGTGGTTCTAGTTTGTGGGAGGGATTTTTTCTGATTCGCGTTTGAGCAAGATCTGATTGAGAACCAACGTTTACTTTGCAGGGATCATCGTACCTCAAGAACGTCTCTCTTCGACGGTCTTGATGGGCTAGAAGAGGGTCGCTTGAGGACATCCTCTTCGTATCCTCATGATATCAGCGAACACGACAATGATAAAGCCTTAGACAGTCTTCAGGACAGAGTTTCATTTCTGAAGAGAGTATGTTCTGTCTCTTCAGTATTATGCCTGATCAAACCTGGGGATATTTTCAGGGGTCACCTCTTAACATTGAGAATTCTTCAATCGTTACCCTCTTGGTAGACATAGTAGACACAGAACTCAGCATTGAAAATTCGAATCGTTTGATGTTGATAGTTACAATGAAAATGATGTCTGAGTAGAAGGAAGAATCTTGTTTGAAGGTGCCTATGATAAAGACGCGCATATCTACCTTAGGTTTTTCTGTGATGGAGTTGGGATCATAGACCGACACTTGTGAGACTACCATAAACGGTTCTGTTGTTGTATATGTGCTTGTATATATATACATGGATATTGCTCTGAATGGTTAGTCAAATAGCCTATTTGAGGATATCGTTAGCGCCTCCGGCGCAAGTGTTCTTAGGTTCGGTTTTGTAGTGACAATATCTTTTGTCCCCTGGATCCTCTTTCTGTTATTCCTTATGCTCACTATTTTCTCATTGATTGTCATATTATATGCAAAAAAAAACCCTTTCGCCAAGATGTAATCTTTCTGATGATATCTTATCAGCTGACTGGAGACATACATGAGGAGGCCGAGACTCATAATCGCATGCTGGACAGAATGGTAAGTTAGTTGGTACTTGCTTGTAACCATATTTTCAGTTCATAGATCTGGAGAATGGGTTTTGTTTCTGAACCAGACGGTTTGTATTTCGTCTAGGGTAATAACATGGATTCGGCTAGGGGAATAATGTCGGGAACCATGAATCGTTTCAAAATGGTATGTAAAGGAAAACTTCGTCCCGTGCTTCCACCCCACTTATCATAATCTCCTCTTTCTAACCATCCCCATGTATTTTCGGTATAAAATCGACATGACAGGTCTTTGAGAAGAAATCCAACCGAAGAATGTGCAAACTCGTAGCGTATTTTGTGGGTGTGTTCTTGATCATATATTACCTTCTCAGGTGAGGACTCT